TTTTCCATTTGCATTGAACAATATGTAGAGTACACAGAGGATCCAAAATTCCCGGACTGCTACAAATATTACCCAACAAATATTATTTTTCTGATAAATTTCAAAATTTGAAAAAGACTGCTAGCGAAAGGTCCAACTGCATTTACTACCTTACTCCCGGACCATTCCAATTTTTTATTTTATTTTTTTTTCCCAGTGATCATCTTGATTAGTTAACAGATTTGGATACCAACTTTTTGAAAATATTAATTAGTCTATCAATTAATAGATACATGTTATTAACCAATAATTAAAATATAAAAATACGTAGATGTCAAAAATAAATATAACAATGATGTGAAAATTTGGATATGCAATAGTTTTTTTGTGTTTAAACTTCTCATATTAAGTTTAAACTTTTCATAGGGACCCAAAAAAAACTATGGGGTCCACCATTAATTAAATAAAAAGAAAGAAAACACAAAAATTACTGGCTTATAACTGGAGAAACTCTCCTATTTTTTATATACATTTTAATGATTGAACTAGTATATGACCCGTGCGATGCACGGAGAAAAAAAAAATTGGTCGGTTTGTCAAAAAATAATTTGAGAAACGATTGTATAGTATTATACTCAAAAAAATACGTTTATCAAAGTGCACTCAAGCTATTCATCCTTTCACAATCAAAAACCAATTATTTACGTGTAATAGGTTTTCATATTTATCAACATAGAAAAAAGATTCTTATACTTCGTTTTATGTTACTTTGTTTTATGTAGGTGTGACATATATTAGATGAAGATTTGAAAAATATTTGAGATACCATGTTTAATGTTATAACAAACGTTTATTAGCTTAATTGCATACGTATGTATAATACATATATTTAATACATCATATTTATTCTCAATAAGATTAGTTTATATGCTTGTTTATTTTCATTTATCACAACAGTAAATTCAAAGACCAGCAACACTAGAAGGATTTGTTAGACCATAAAAAAAAATGTTGGCGGGAGGTGTTGTTGGTTGTTGTTGGTTGATCATAGCACCAGTAATTATCCATATCATCTGGAACAGACAGAAATAATTTTATATAAATGTGTTTCGTGGCTTAGTGTGCCAATACAAAACATAGTTCGACATGACAGAAAAAAAACATTCATAAAATTAATCTGCATTGAAAATGAAACAGTAGGATAATTGAAAAAAACTGCAGAACATCCTTGGCAAATATTTGTCATTAACATGTTTAAAACTAAACACTTAATATTGTCATTTTTGAAAAGTGTCTCATCTCAGCATCTGCATCACAACCTGCACATGTATTCCAACTACCATCCTCATTTCCATTACAGTCCATTGTTGACGGTGCATGTGAATGCTTCTCGACGGTGTATTTCTTAGAACAACACCAAGAAAACTCTTGGATTGGTATCCTTTCCTTAAGGAGAATTTTATCTTTTTAATAATAATTAAGGAGAATTTTATTGGGATTGGGATCTAAGGAGAAGGGGGAAAATATCATGCAAGTATATCTAAACTTTCACCCAATGCCAACTCGGCAACTCCCTAATCACAGAGAAACAGGAATCACCAAGTAAGCGTTACGGGAGCCCCAGCTCACCGGAATGGCAGTACAATACCGATTTGAAGCTCCATAAGCCTTTTTAAAAATTATTTCTTTAGCAATACTGAGTGATACATATATAACTAACCAACAAATTTATTTCTAAATTTGCAACAGCCTGCGAATTGAAGGTAAGAGTGATGTGAAGATTTCATCATCCACCGGCCTACTTTTCTCCCTCGAGGTTGCGACCACATCATTACCCTTTGAAGGTAGAGTAAGCAAGACAAGGTAATCGTAACACAGTTGTTCAACTTTTTTATTTTTATTTTTTTTGATATATCGACTTTAATTATCGCAGGTAAGCTAGTCCCTATCTATTTTTATAAATTTTAATTTTTTGAGCTAATTATAAAACTAATCCCAAATTAGGGTATAGTTACAATTAAATCTCCATCTCTCTGCAAAGATGTATTTAATGAAAATCAAATCCAAAATTCAACCCTTGTTACTGCCAATTCAGCGACACCATTGAGTCAATTGTTCAAATCAAGGATAACCTGAATGGTACAAAGTTCTTCGGTCATGCAGTACGTCATAATTTAAAAAATAAATTCGGAACTCATAATTTATAACTTAAGAAATATGTGTTTTTACCAAAAAAAGAAAAAGAAATATGTGTTTAATGTATCTCATATTATAAGAAACAAATTTATTTCCGACATACATATAAAAATATATAGGGTCCACTTGAAAAGAAGAGAAAAAAAAAAGTACAGACCATATACACTTTTATATATATGTAAAAAATAAATTTATCTCCTACAATATAAGTAAGACAAATATTAATGTATATCGCCTTCACTCAAGTATATGGGTTATTAAAAAAGATTTGTGAATATAGATACGGGTTTGGATATTATAATAACCACTTTTTTTTCTATAGTCGTATTTAAATATATTGTGATAAATATTTACAATTTTTTTAATTAAACTAGATGTTGTATTTTTAATTAACGCTCTTTGTTTTATTGATTTTTCATAATTAATTTTAGTATTAAAATAATATTTCTAATTGTATAATTTGTCAAATAAAACACATTAAAAAAGAAAATTTTATTTAACAGGTAATAGATCCAGGTTCAAATATATAAGTACTTATTGAGTATGAATATGTATGATAGTTAAAATTTTGATTTAAATCTCGCTTTTATAATTTTTTTTAATCAAAATAATTTTATCAAAATTCCAAACGCTTTTATGATTTTTTGTATGTTAGAATTTTACGTTTTATGATTTTTTATTCTTTTTTCGATTTTAACTACCATGTGAATATGTGCATTAAAATTGCTATCCAAATATATATTCAAGTCCTAGAACGGGTATTTTTCCTAAATACGAATATAGACACCAATATTCTAATAGAGTGACCCTACATGGTCACTCTCTAGGAAACGACATTAGCAACCCATAAAGATTAGCGTTTGAGAATTGACATTCCAATGCTATAGGTTCTGCCGACCAAGTTTCAGACACTTAAAATGTGGGCCGAGAAAGACGAAAAAACATTTGGCACCGCCAAAGTACCTACATCCATACTCAAAAGAAAAAAAAAATTGGGATTTAATGAGAAATGTAAAAAAAAAAAAAAAAAACAGAGATTAAAAGGAAAAAAAATTCTATTTAATAAAAAAAAATACCAAAGTTCGGTATTACAGACAAACAAACCAAAAATAGATTTTGTCAAAAACAAGCCCAACTTCCTAATAATCCTCGCATGCTTTTTTGGACCGTCAAATGCTCTTAACCAATATTATTAAAATTGGTTTATTCAATGATTCGGTCGAAGTATTGGATCATTGATTCAATTAATGGGTCACTGTTTGAATTACATGACCTGGTGATATATATAAATCTATAATTTATATTATAAAAATTATAAATATACTCAAATAGTTGAAAAAAATAATATAAATTCTAAATATTTTAATATAAAAAAATAAATTATACATTATTGTCCAATAAATGATCAAACAAACACATAATGTTTGTTATATTGGTGTTTCAAGTTCGGTAAACGACATCTCTAACTATCAAATCAAAATTCCCTGCATAGTGCATAACTGAGATAATATTAAGATTGTAGATACATAACTTATGTAAGTCAATAAGTAACAGATCATTCAAATATGTCAATTATGATTTTTTTTTGGAATTTTTTTTTTTCAAAATAATTTTTTTAAAACCTGGGCCGGGTCACCGATTAACCGGCCGAGTCACCGGTTTTTCACAAAAACAGGTCAAGTCGCACCGGATCGTACCGGGTATGATACTTGACCGATCGTGATAACCGAACCGGTCAGATGACCGGTTTACCGGGATCTGGGTTGACCCGGCCAGTCCGATTTTCTCAACAATGCTCTTAACCCCACGGCTGCATATTGGAGAAAAGGAAAGAAAGAGTATAACACAAGCATAAGGCAAAAAGTACGGTATAGTTGGGACAACATTAAGAACATAAAGAAAAACAACATTAGGGTGTGCAGAGTAACCTTCTCGGAATCAATTTTTTTTTAATTTATGCTCCCAAGAACAAAAATGAATAGAAAACTCGTTTAGTAAAATCGATTTATTTTTTTGTTCCCGAGATGAGCCGGTTTAATTTTTGTGCTGGGAAAGAGAAGAAAGAATAATTTTTTTTTGTTCCTGGGCACAAAATGAAAAACATTTATCTCTCTCAATTACTCTCCACCACTACTATCATCACCACTGCCACCACCATCCCGACACGACCACCGCTATCATCGCCGTACCATCACCATCACCCCACTACTATCACTATCATTACCACTACCATCACCGTCACCACCATTATCACTACCAATGTCACCAACCATCACCACCACCATCGTCGTAGCCACAGCCATCACCACCATCACGCCACCACTACTACTGTCTTCGTCGTCGCCGCCACCGCCACCACTACACCGCTGTTGCCGCCGTCGCCATGTCATCTCCATCACCATCGTCGCAGACACTGCTGTCACCACAACCACCACCACCATCGCCGCCACCACCATTACCACCGCCGTCGCCGCCACTACCATTATCATGCCACCACCACCACCTTGTCATCATCATCACTATCGTCACAACCATCGTTGTCACCACCTCCACCACTATCGCCGCTGCCACTATTATTTGTTGTGTTATCAAACGCAATTCTCATTCTCGAAATAAAAATAAAACATGTTATCAAACACTTTTTTTCTCAAAAATTATTCCAAGGCACGAAAATAAAAAAAAAATTTGTTTCTTTTCAAAAATAATGCCAAGAAACAGAATGATTATCATGCACACCGTTAACCTTAACATAATTATACCCAATTTAAGATAAATGAAAGGTTAGCTTACTTTGTTCAGAGGTAGATAAACACGCATCGGATTTAGGTGCCTCATATAGGTCGATAGAGTGCATAATAGATTAATACAAGAACTTGAATGTAATCACTGCCAAATTAAGATTAATGTGTAAATTTGGCTAATAGATACAATTTTTTTGGTCCTCAAAATCCTAAGTTATTATAGCAAAGTACATAAGTACAACAACTATGGACATTCTCTTCTGCTACTTCATGCCAGCGTCACTGCTAGCAATTAGCATACATCATGATTTTCAAGTCAATACTGCAGTACACCCTGCAGGCAATGTGAAGAATTATTTAATTAGATCATAGAGTCGAGCATGAATAGAAAAGTGCTTAAGAAAGAAAGAACAAGTAGTCAAGTTCTTCAAATCAGGTGCTGCAGCAGCACCAATACTTCTTCACACAACATCGTCAAACCAGTCATTACAAGCATTTGTTAAACCCTTTTTAGCAGTTATATTCATGTTGTGTTGGACTTCAAACGGTCATTTCATAACATTTTCATGTTACATCATTCAGGTATATCTCCTACTAGAGTTACATCATTCACTCTTTTTGTTAACTATCCATTGTCATCTTGAGCTAATCAATGACCATTTCATAACATTCTCAAGTTTCTAACTGCAGTTAAGATCATATCCATCACGATAAAGAAGTAAAATCTCTTGTCTATCAACAATTCCAGCTAGGGAACCTGCAGATTCTATTTAAGAGAAGTGCATTAGAATACTCTATCAAATACCATGTCTCTAACAGGACAAAGATTGCTTACTTTGGTAAAGTAACTTCCAACCGCCTTGCTCCTAAGCGAATGCCCGGTATGGAAATCATCTTCAACATGTCTTGTAAAGGAAGGTTCAGAATTTAATTGACTAGTTGATGGAGATGGGTCAGCCTCTTTATTTGCAATAAGAGAACCCTCAGTTAATGAAAAACCAAAGACTCTGCAGCTATTTTTACATGAGGAAACCAACTCTTGACTGCCTCCGAGAGCTGAAATTGAATCATGAGCTTGCCCACGGAAACTAGGCTCATAAGAGGGGGTTGATGCAAATGTTCCACCTTTCAATTCAGAAGCATATGAACCTCTATGATGGACTTTACCCTCCATCACCTGATTGATTTTGTTATTATAATCTGAGTTTGAAAGATTGACTGCTTGCTGGAACATTAACACAGATGATGGAGATGACACTTGCCCATATGGAATAGTTGGATGCAAATGTGAAGAATTGTTATTCATCTGGGCAGTCCATCCATTTCTGGATCTTGATGCCTGGTAACCATCAAAAAGTCCAAAGCAACCATTTCCACAAGCCTCATCAGCAGGAAAGGCTCTTCCATATGGTTGGCTTGGAAGTATTTCTTGACCTTGCAAGACCTTCTGGAATCGGTAAGATTCACTGAAGCCTATGCCATTGCAGGAAACATCCGAACTCGCATGTGGGATTCTGATACTATTTCCTGTTGCAGCAATTCCAGGACAGTTTGAACCTGGATAGCACCTCCTTAATTCAGATAACTGGTGACTCTGAGCACTAATACCATCAAATGTAGTATTAGCACCAAAAATTTCTTGACCTTGCAAGACCTTCTGGAACCTTGATGATTCCCCGAAGTCTGATGTCCCAATCCCATCTGTCAGAAGAACATAACTCATCAATGAAGTTGCATGAGGTAGTACAACTCAAGTAAATGAAAAAGTTTTAAGACATACTGGGAACTGATAATTCTGGCTTTGCTGAAGGCAATCCAATCTTGGTCCTCTTCAAACCAGTTGCCATCAAGTTATTGGCAGTGGAAGCAGAACCAAATCGCTCAATCTCCCATGGGGAAACCCTATTATGCCTTGTGGCTTCTAAGTCATCCCACCTCACCTAGAAAGATGAGAAATAATTTGTAGCCAACTTCAAATAAATTACTCTAAAAACTACATCACATAACAAGTCATAAGTAAGAGAATAGGAAGAGGAGATATCAATAAAGAACAATCGTAGAGCCCATTAAGAACAAATGCAATCAATAGTTTGAATGAGCTGATAACCCAAACCAAGTTATACACAACTTAGGCAGAAAATTCCAAATAAAATGTGCAAAAACTATCAGAGGAATGATACCATTGACTGGTAATTTAAATATAGTTAAGCATGCCAAAAAATAAAGTCACTAGCAGCATGGAAAGCTTTTCTGTATGGTGTACTGAGCTTTAAACGTGACATGAAAAGCCACCTTTTTCTATATTCATTACAAATCAAGAAACAATTTCACCCAAAAACTTCAGCTATTATGAGAATGCCCAGGAATATTATTATTATTTTCTGTGTATCTCTTACCACTCCTTCAGGTCTCTTAATAGTATTCAAATCTGCTGAGGTAACTACAATGTTATTCTTTTTCTTTCTAACTTTATAATATGGAATTCATAATTGCTTCAACTTAACACGCATATCAGTCACTTCCTTGAATTTTTACATACCATAAAGTATGGATCATCTCAGCCAAAAATAACATAAAGTCAGATATTATGTTGGCTGAAGATCCAATTTTCCTGACTTACTATATGCAATATTTAGTTAGTCCACTGAAAGGTCGATCCATGTAATTCTCAACAACATGTAATTTTCATATTTAGTAAAGTCAATTCAACCATGGAATTATTTCAGGCTATATGACAGAGAAATTTATATAATATAGAACAGGACAATGACAAAGAAATTTATCACAAAACCATCTAACAAAATTATAAAAGGAAAGAGTAGCTCGATTGAACACCATATGCCATGTAGCTATTAAAATGTGGAGCACAACATCATAAATAAAACAGCAACTCAGACATAAAACCATAGGTGTTTCCTTAAAGGGAAATATGTTTCTCATGTTGCATGAGAAACATATTCCCCTAAGCCAAAATAATTATCCAGCCTCACATGTCAGAACATCCATCTATTAACACACAATCTTAGGCATGTAAATGATAACTATATTAAACAAATTTAGAAAGACCCCAGCAATATACCAGTAGGCATCTCCATTTTGATCCAGGCCATCTAACAGGATCCACATCAGTGATTCCAACAATTAACCCTGTGTATCTGCTCAAAAGAAGTTTTGACTAAGATTCTCTATTAATAGGGGGTATCTAAATGCATAAAACATATTCATGAACAAACCTTCGCTCAGCAGCATCTTCTGTTTCAAATCGCATCCTGAACCTCATTCCAACTGAATAAGAATAATCAAGGCTCTTTAAGAATTTGTGGATAGGTATGATGAATTCAGATGAGCTGACCCTACAAAGAAACAGTGAAATATAGAAGAAACTATCAGATACCATGCTTGGCAATAAAAAAAGCAAAAAATAAAAAAGAAGTTATCACAAGAAATTCATGAAAACTTAGATCAATACGGTATATATAAGTAAAAGCATGAATGGAGGTAAACCATTTAAACATTCAAAACAAAATCTCTTGTTCAGCACATTAAACTAGAAGGTCAGGCTAAAAAAATGGGACATACTGATTGAGTGATAGTCTATCTGATATATAATTAAACATCCTTCTGAACCCGATCTTATACAAACATAACACTATGCAAATTGTAGATAGAAGCTGAAAATCACCCTCACTGACTACCAAGGAAAGTAGAAGAGAATATCCAGCAAAATACCTCGGATTATAGTGAATGCTAAAGGCACATCTAGTAGACAAAGCATTAACCACATCCATAAGACTGCTAAGATTCAATTGCTGGCCAGAAAGAGATGAAAAAGTACTGCCATTTTTCAATTGAGCTGCCCTACGAATTCCCAATCTCAGTTCTCCATCGTCACCCCTGTCGTGAAGTACAGAATGTTAGTCATGTCCGTGTTACAAGTACTATTTAATAATTGATAGCATCTAGGTCATCAAACCTAAGAAACAGAACAGCATCTCCAGATACAAGCTTCTTCTTGTTCACAAATGCACTCCAACCGGTTGTAAGCAAATGTCTCCGTGGCTGCCCTGTTCATGAGAAACAGGAAATACAAACAAAAACAGTCAAGTAGTTTCTACCTGGTATATTCTAGTCCTTATAAATATGAGACATAAGTGACATACCCCTATAAATATGTCGAAACCTCCATTCTTGGCCATGCAGATCCTTTGCCACAAGCTCTTGTGAAGGTCTCTGTTGACTGTAATCCTAAAGTAAGAGTAGACTTAAATTCAAAATGGTTTGGAAGATATATCTGAACTAGTTCTAGGAATTTTGATACCAATTGATATGATGAAGAAGACTTTCAAATTGGAGAGGTGTGTTATTTCAAAGCATTTATAAGAGCTAACTTAACCCCAGCATATAAGAAATAGAAATGATAAACATGCAAGAGCAATCAAGGGAGTGCTCAAATAGGCTCACTTTGATGAGAAAAGGAATGCATCATCATTCATAAATCATAATTACCAGGGGAGGAAAGCAATCTTCAGCAGCTCGACGAGGCACAGAGAATCCACCATGAGTACTAGTATCAGATGCAGTAAGAGTCTTGCAGAACATGTGGGGTGTTGTTGACTTCATCACAGCTTCAGTATCATCCTCTTCACCATCAGCATCAAATTTTCCTTCCCGCAACTTTTGCTGCACTTGCTATAAAAATGGCCAAATTCAAGCAAAATCAAAATCAGTCAATATAAGCACTTCATTTAATATTAATGTAGCTCTCTCTTACTTCATTTACTTCTATATGACAAGAAAAAGTGTTGTAGTTCCCTTTTTCTCTGGTAAGGATGTGTTGAAAGTGCTAGTAACACGGAGAGAGACACAGAACGAAGCCTATAGCTATATTGTGCACTTTTACTCATTTGGTTCCAGAGGCATAATACTCAGCTTAGCTCAATTAAGCAATTTCATTATAATCATCTCAATTGGTCAATTTTACTTAGTCCCTAAGACATAGGTACTAAAGAGCTCAAGATTCACTGCTCTCTCCAAAACAGAACTGAACCAAAGTGGAATCATAAATAAGCCTCACCTCACTTTCAGGAACCAACAACACCTGACAATACACTTCATCGCTCCCTTCCTCCGCCTGCACAGAAAAAGTTCAAACACATTACATGTAAAATACCAAACAAAACCAACCTATAGTCACCATCACAAAGGGTGACCCAAAAGAATAAGAAGGAATGAAATGAAGCACATTCATGGTATACCATACAAATACAAGAGAATGGGTCATTCACAAATTGTTAATAGGATATCTTGTTCTGTACTTGACACTGACACAAATCATTTTCCCATCAATTTCCTCAGCAAGCAAACAGAACCCAGATGTGAAAACCCACAAAGAAACCAACTTTCAGAAAGAAAGACAAAAACTAAATTGAAAAAAAAGAATTAAAAAAAAAAAGAATTCTGACCCTAACAGTTACAGACAGCATTCGATAAAAGAAAACTCACATGAAGCTTGACATCTACAACACGACATAACACATGGGGTGGGATGTTATTACAAGCAGAGAGCGGAAAATCCTGAAGATGTTCCAAGTGTCCCTGAGGGAAGTACACAACAACGCTTCCTTTCTTTGGCAGAGAGATCATTGGACCCGCACACGCGTGCCACAACTCCAAGCACACAGAGGAAGCTGAAGCAGCACATGTTGTGCTTAAGCTTGTACCAGAGGAGGAACCAGACGACGGCGTTTCATCGTCCTCCGTGGTGTTGAGATCAATCAAACCCGCCATGGCAAGAAGAAAGCACAATGATAGGGAATGGGAATCTTCCAACAACAAAAGTTAAGTGCTTGCAGAGGAGAGAGTGAAAGAGTGAGGGAGATATTTGAAGGAGTGATTTCATGCCTGCATTTTTCAGAGAGCGTGACCAACTTTGGCATTGCCAAAAGAACCTGACCCAATACTCCAAAAAGAAAGAGACCCTCTTTCTCTGTCTTTCTCTCCCACACCTCCACTGAGCTATCACTCTCTCTGCTAATTTTCCTTTTCTTTCTTTTTTGGGTTCTTTCCTTTTACTTTCCCTTTGCCTGTGGAGAGGAGAGAGTTAATGGGTTTTTGGGTAGGCATCAAATCAAGCTTTCATTGGGATTTAAGTTGGACTCTCATAAAAATGGTTTTTTTTTTTTTTTCTCTCTCTCTCTTTTAAAAAAAAATTCCTTTTTTTTTTCTTTACTTTACTTTTTCTTTCTCTCTTTTTATTATTATTTTTTTACCCTTTTACTCGTCTGCAGGGTGAAGGTGTAGCAGTGATGCAGCTGCTGCAATGCTGAGACTGTTGGGTGTGATGTGTGGCAGAGACAGAGAAAGTGAGGAGAGAGAAGAAAGCTACAAAAACAAAGACTGTACTGTAGTTAGTAAGAGAAGTGACTCACTTTTGTTTGTGAAGGTTATTTTGTTGTTTAAGTCTGTACGGTCACCCTGTATTTCCGGGCGGATGTCTATTCTGTCCCCTTCTATTTCGCCAAATCTCACACCTATCCTTCGGCTTGTAATAATAAATAATAACAATGATGCATTTAAAATAAAAAAAAATCAATTTTGAAATTAAGGGTCATCCTCATTCCCACTTAAATATTATATTTTTTTTTCTAATGTTGGTCCTGTGATGATTTTGTTTGTTGAACATTCCGTTAGTTAATTGTATTCTACCACTTTAATGCACTTTTTATGGTACTTGTATTGCATCATTTTCTGCATCGTGGCCAACTTTCAGGTATCAATGGTGTAGAAAATTTTCCTTCCAGAGGGTTCTTAATCAAAATCTTGTTTTTAATTTAACCTGAATCATTGAGTGCAGACCTCATTACCACTCATATTTGGCAGGCTTTGGGGGTTAATGTTGACAATTAACTAAAAAAAGATAGACAAGGGCAAGACAAATGAGCTTGGATGTAGAAAGTTGCATGCTGTTTTTAAAGCATTATCTTTTTCTTTCTTTTTTACTTTAACACAGCCAATTACTTTGCCTACTCAAGTTTTGACTTTGCCGTTAGGATCCTATCATAATTATTAGGTGTTTTCTTTGAACAAAAGTAATTGAGTAACCCAGGTCACTGCCTAACCAATTAGGGAAGTGCCAAATTAATGAACATATTTTTTACTTTCTAGCCTAGACCATAAATTCTTTAGGCCAACCTTGCAAATGTGGAGATCTTCGTTGCTTTAAATACGACACGTTAGTTAATCATTGATGCCCATGCCTACCACTTAGCTTATGCCTCCCTACAAGAATAGCTTTTTCATTTTCTATTGAGCTCAGTTAAATGATCTTATGTTTAACAAAATGTTTAATTAGTAAGGAATGTCTCCAGTATTTACAGAAAACCAAGGGAAAACTAATGATGGTTAAGTAGGAAATCCAACGGTTTTTTTAACACAAATAATCTATTTTAGTATGATAATTCCAAAAATAATAGTGTTCCTATAATATTTCTCCAAGTAGTTCAATTTTGTTTGATATCAAAAAGTCGTTTTTTGCTTACTAAAAAATCAGCTTTTACCAAAGTGACTTATTAATGTCCTTTTTGTAAATTAAAAAAAAAATGAGAAAGATAGTTTTGCCTTAAACATGTTCAGTTATATCATCTCACTTAATCTAATTTAGAAGAAGGGAAAAATAAATCGGAGATAATTTTATCTCCTATAATTAGGGGTGTCAAAATGAATTGACACGATACGAATTTGACACGACACAAATATATCAATATTAACACGACACGAATTTTTATTCGTGTCAAAATCTTCAACACTGTCACGACACAAATTTTTTGCGGGTTGACACGACGCGACACGAATAACGCGCAAAATAGGGGTCAAAACGGTAATTGAAGAAAAAATTTAAAAAAATGGATTGAAATTAAAAAAAATAACAAAATAATAACAAAAAATTAAAAATAAAATAATTTTAAAAAAAATACAGGTCGACACGAACACGAATACATCAACACGAAAACGACACGAATTTTTTACGTGTCATTTTTTTCAACACGAACACGACACGAATTTTTTTGCGGGTCAACCCGAACACGAATTTTCGTGTCGTGTCGCGGGTCAACCCTCGTGTCAAAACCTATATTGACACCCCTACCTATAATCCTATAATGATATTGTTTTGGAATTTTTTTTAAAATAAACAGGATATTCTAATTTAGCAAAGCTTGATATATGTGAATAATTTTCTTTTTTCTTCTTGTTTATATTCTTTTAATTTTTAATGCATTTTAAAAAAGAAAATCGAGGGCAACCACTAAATATACAGATATAAATGAAATTTTCTGAGTTTGCTACTATCCTTACCCCAATATTGGTATGAAATATACTCACAAACAATTCAAGAAAGTAATATTAATCATATTCTATATGTTCCTTGGTGTATCTAACATTGGTAAGAAGTATATTCAAGTGATATTAATCATATTCTATCTTTTCCTTAGTATCAATAAGGTAACACTAAATTAATTGAGTTTTGTTCCCTTCAAATAGGACTTCTAGTTGCCCTCTCATGTCTGGAAGCTCAAAATCTATATTGATCACTCAAAAACTAGGTCTTTTGACCATAAATAATGTGAGAAATAATTTTTTTAGTTCATTATTCAAAATTTAAATATTTTTTCAAAATAATATAGTAAAATGTGCATGAAGATATGCTTGATCAAGTCACGCATGAGAATAATGTACAATTTATGCAAAAGCCTGTGTGTGTTTGCCACTTATCATGTGTTGCGAGACACAATATGGGTGTACACAGTCTCATTGGATTATTTTCATAAAATATTTAAATTTTAAATCAATGAAATAAAATATTTTCCATTTTACACTAAATGGATCAAAAGCCTCAAAACTGCGTCATCACCTAATTCTCAACACTACAAATCACACTTGCTATCACCATTGAAATCTTTGCTTGGATTACATGTCTCACCTTCAGAGTTGAGTAGTTCATCAAATCTACAAATTAAATTAAAGAAAACAAACTCTTGCGCAAACCTTTTGGCTAAGCATGGAAGAAGCAACAAATGTCCTATCTAATATATAGTAGGTCATGCAAACTCTATTCTAACATCTACTAGCAAGCCAGGAAAACTTTATTCTAAGACATCTGTCATACTTAAGCATGGGTTTTCTATCTAAATATGTATGCTCTTCCACTTTATTAAAGAATGATCCATTTCAATTTTATTCCCCAAAAGACAAGGAAACTCTGGTGCTAATGCAATTGCTATACTGCCGACAGCAACATGGCTGATGCAGAATGAGAGAGACGCAACAAACAGATTTGAGAAATACAATAAAATCAAGGGAAATGATCCGTCTACAAACTTTTTTTGCAAATTACACTAAGTACGATTGGTCGTACACTGCATGATTAAAGTATGACCGGTCGTACTTAATGTAGTTTGTAAGAATTTATAAATAAAAAAGTTTGTAAATATAACCTGTCCCTAAAATCAAATGTTCCAGTTTTATTTTTGATGTCGTACGCTTGTCGGGCTGCATAGCATTTCTCATATGGGGAAAAAAGGAAAATAGTTTCGTATACCATGCACCATTCCCTCCACCTGCTATAACTGTAAATTTGGTTAATAATGACATTGATATGGTATATATATAGATTGATTAATGAACTAACTAACTCGTCCTCACAATTTTTTTCTAGGTAAACTCTTAAGAAAGAATTGTCAAAATTCTGTCCCTTCTACGACGACCTGCACTTTGCTTAATTATTTTCCTCCCAAGCCTAATGAAGGAGAGTAATTAGGTAGAGTATAGCAGAAGAGCATTTTCATCAATAAAGGTTTTTAAAAAATTCATTACGCAATGAAAAAGGAGATGCCTTTTTTATTTGTTTTTTGAAAATTTATTAAAATAAACTAGAGAAGCAAACCAAAACTAGAAATTAAATTTAAAATTAAAGCTCAGTCGGAAACAAAGGATGGAAAGAGGCAAAGAATATAAAAAAAGAAAAGAAATAAAAGACAAACACAAAATGACCACAAGGGTGGCAATTCAGACCACTAATTTAAAACACAGATGACACTGGGAAAGGCTTTACTTTTTCAGTTTCTAAAGTGCCAATTATCACACATGCTGTAGCCATAGAACGAATGGAGAAACAAGAAAGGAGAAAGGAGCCCAATGAAAACATTAGAAGGGTAGCTGGTTAACAATATCGTAAATTATAATCCTTTTCTCCACTGCACATAGGATGGTGGATATCTAGCTACTTGCATATTCCTTTGTAAACAAATAACTTATATTTATTTTTGGAAAGTGCATTTGAGTGAAGATAAAAATTTTAGTCAAAATTTAAGTGAAAAGCACATTTGATTGAATATAGATAACCGTAGTTTGTTAGACCATAGATATTCGTCAATATGAGTTAAAGCATAAATAAAAGGGTGACATTGTGTATGTTCTTTTTTGGGGAGTGTGAAATTGAAATCAGCTTTATGTATCAATTATGTTATGACTAATGAGTTATGATCAGATGGGATATTTAATATTTTGAATTAATTTTTATTACATTAATTATTTATTTTAACCTAAAATACAAAAACAAAAACCGGTTCATTCTAAACTGCTTTAAATTATATTAGATTGAATCAGATTTAAATTTAGAAACAAAGTACTTAGATAATAAAAATATGAAAATCAATAAAATTGGATTAGATGACTTTTCTCTTCAAAACCGATGGAATCCAATCTGCGAACATACTTAGTCGTTGGATCACACATTTTAGACCAACTATATCCATGGAATCTTCTATCCATCAGGTGATTCCCACCCAAATTTTGTATAGTTATATGAATGTCCTCACAGTGTAGACAGTTTGAACCAAGCAACTGAATAATTGGGGTGGCTAGACTATATATAATAATCCTAATTATATGACTTTTAAATTAGAGGATTATGATGAGGACCTTATGATCATAAATGGAAAGAGAATGAAATTTTAAAAATTTTGATATTCATATTGAGGTTATTTTACACAGGTGAATTTTCATCTGTTATCTTGACTGCTGACGTAGTAACAGTCAGTAGAATAGCTTCAAGTTAGCAAATTATAGTTTGAAAGCTTGATGATATGATTATCATAGATGAGGTTAGTATATGATTTGATGAAGTTTGATACCCATATTGTGGTATTTTGGAAAAGTCACTTCTAC